GACAGAACTCCTGATTTGCCTCCCATTTTCCTAAGCCACATTTTGAGCCCATTTTTATGTGTTAATACAATCAAATAAACTGCAACATGAAGCAATATAAACAACAACAGCTGCTTCTTTTCTTAAAAGCTGTGAAAGGCTAAATAACCTACAACCCCTGCCTACATATGTGCCTTGCCAAGCCAGAGGATCACACAAGGCTGTGCTCTGTTTTGAAAGCTGGGGCATCAGATTTGTCATGTCAGATTTGTATTCACACGATACAACAGGATCCATGACTTTCATTTCAATAGCAGCTGGAGCAACGGGCACAGAAGGATCACGCAGCTAGCCCTGGAAAAACGAGGATGCGTTTGTTTTTAAAATAATTTCCTTTCTTCCTAAGAGCTGTTAGTCACCACAATCAAAGTTAAGAGGCAGATGCAGATATCTGCTGTAGGGTCACACCATGTCAGCAGTTGCTGGCAGAAAGGCTACATTTCTTCTCCCTCTCCCCTCCAGTGGATACTGCAGCCTCAGAGAATTCTACACGTATCCTCAGAGATGCTTATGTGTACCAGCAAAGTACAGCTGTAGGCTTTACAAAAATTTCCACATGCCCTACAAATTCAAATCCTGTTTTATGTAATCTATTTAATCTTCCATTAATGATAATCTCTGCTATCAATGTGCCCAAACAGGGTCAATTTCTGCTGGATTTGCACTTCTTGCATTTCATCCTATAACCCAGCTGTACTTAATGAGGGGAAACACCCTGCTGTAAAAGGTATTAGCAGTCTCCCTAAAACAAATAATAGTTACAAGACTGCGTAACTGCCAGGAACATTTCAAGATCATGGGCTTTTTTCCTTTCTTTGTGTGCCTTGTGTGGAAGAGAGTCCTGCCAGCCGACCATTATTTATTAACCAGGATTTTATTGCCTTCTATACCTTGTAAAGAGACAGCATAGAGGGGTGGAAATTGCAGTGGATTTCTCTTACATACCCAAAAAGATACAAAGGGGAGAAAGGAAGATATCGCAAGGGAGCATTTAGACCCTGACAGATCCCACCCGGCAAGCCCCAGCAGCATTTCAGATGCACACATGTTACTGCAGTTGGCAACACCATGTAAGATACCTGCTTCACATAAAGCTTGTGAGCAGAGACACGGGCTGAAAATTACGCTCCCTTTGCATGTGTTTCAAAAGAGGGTTCTGTGCAGCTCCGTATACCTAGTGTGGAACAGCTAGAGCTCAGAGCCACGAGAGATTTTCCTGCTGGTAGCACCCAACTTCCCTGGGCTGCAGCTACAGAGCAAACTGGCTCAGACACACCTGTAAGGGATGGCTCCTTCTCAATTGCCGTAGCAGACACTGGGGAAGCAAGTTACTGCCTTGTTTGCTGTTCTGATTTAGTGGTAGTTTTATTCGTAATCATTCCCAGCCATCCGCCACCTGCACACCCACCCACACATACACGTCCAATTTGCTGTTCTTCCTATTTTGTCAATTCACAAGATCAGTTCACCGTGCATATACTCTCTGTCCCAGGGTTCATCAGCAAATAGATTTAACAGACAAAGTAAAGTTTAAAGGCACTAGCTGACAGAATCCTCCAGTGGAAAAAAACATACATTAACATGCAAAAGGGGAGCCATCGGCAGTAAAAGCAATCCAGAAGGTAGCGTTCAATTGAATTGATGATCCTAGCAGAAACGACTAAGAGTTAATGGAGGACACAGGCTCCTCATTTCCTATGCTGCATCCAAGAAAGCGCAGAGGACTATAATACAGTGTAATTGAGCATTTTACTAAACAGCAGCACACACAAGTTCTTTCGGCATAGATTGCATTCGTCCTAGATAACCTTTATGAGAAGCGGGAAGTTGATGTGCCCAACCCAAACGAATTCTCAGATTTAACCTGAATCCTTCGCTTTGCGCCTTGCAGTGTCAGGCACCAGACATCAATCGGGGAGCTAGCCCCCTCCTCTGCTTAAAAGAAATAGTCAGCTACGGGCTGAGGCTGCAGACGACACGGTACGGACAGGAGCCTCTGCGTGTTCGGGGCTGCCCCGGTGCCCCCCTCCGGGGGAGCTGGTGGGGGCCCCTTCCAGCAGCCGGCCACTGGGATGCACGGAGGGAGCGAGCATCCTTCCCGGGCCAAAAGCTTGCTTTTTCTAGGGAGGCGACCGTGCGGAAAGCAGTAGAAAACTCCCTCCCCGCCAGCCCCAGCTCCCGAGGAGCTCCCTGCCCCTTACCGGGAGCCGCCGCCCGGCAGCCCCCCCGTGCTCCCCGCATCTCCCGGGTACCGTCCTCAGAACAGACCCGGCGGGGGAGGCTTCCCCGCAAACCGCACCGAGATGGGGCACCTCAAATGGCCGCTCCACCTCGACACCCACCACGCGAGTGGGGAACCTGCCGGGTGGACTCTGAGGGGAAGGGAGAGAAGGGGCGCAAAGTTGGCGGCCCCCCGTGGGTTGGCCCCGAGGGCAGGGGCCGGCTGGCTGTACTTACGGGTTTTGGGGGTCGTGCTGGCCTCCGGCGTGGTGGTGGTAGACTCCTGAAAGGGAGACAGAGTCCAGGACGGCGCCGAGTCGTGGACGTAGATCTTGTAGGAGGAGGTAGCGTGTGCCGCAGTGGGCCAGGCGGGCAGCGGCGGGCTGCTGGGGGCGGCGGGCGGCGGCCGGGCACCGCGGCCGGGGCCAGGACCGGGACCGGGGTCGGGGCCGGGGGGGCCGCTGGTCGGGGGCGCGGTGTGGGGCGCGGCGGGGTGCCGGGCCGCCGTGGGCCTCGGGGCGCCCCGAGCCGGGCCGCGGGTGCCGGGGGGCCGCGGGGGGGCCCGGCTCATGGTGGTGAGGCGGGGGCTGACGCGGCTGGGCGGCCGCGGCGTGGCGGCGGCGGTGGTCTCCGCGCCGCGGGGGGGGGCGGTGGGCTTAGAGAGGAAGAAGGGGTCCTGCCCCACGCCCTTGGCGTCCATCAGCTCGGTGGGGACGTACTCCTTGACGGAGCCCACCACGATCCACTTGAGCAGCATGAGGCTGAGCCCCAGCCCGATGAAGCCGATGAAGAGGGGCACGACGCACAGCCACGTCTGCTGCCGGTTCCAGACGATGCAGTCGCTGCAGCGCAGCTCCCGCGGCGGCCCCCCGGCCCCATCCCCGCCCGGGCCCCCCGCCGCCGCCGCCTCTGCCGCCCCGGGCGCCGCGGCGCCGGCAGCCCCCTCGCTCATCCTAGGGGCCGTCCGCAGCGCGGCCCCGGGGCATCAGCGCGCCGCGGCTGCCGGCGGCATGCGGCGGAGGTGGGCGGAGGGGCGCGGAGGGGAGCGGAGGGAGCGCCCCACTCAGTGCCGCCGGCAGCCCGGCATGGCGAGCCCCGCAGCGCCCCGCGCAGCCTCCCGCGGCCGCGGAGTCAGCGGGACGGCCGCGCCATCCGCCGGGCGCCCGGCTCCTCGCCTCTCCTTCTTCTGCCTCCGCTCCCAGGTCTTTCCTTCTCTCCTCTCTTCTTCTTTATTTTATTTTATTTTTCCCCCCTCCGTGCGGTGGGTCGCGAGATCCAGCCTCCTCCCTCGGCAATGCCGGCTGTCACCCCAAGCTGGCGGTCCCGGCGGCGGGCAGGCACATTCCTTCACATCCGCGCCCCTTCTCGCCTCTCCTCCTTCTCCTCGCCCCTCGGGGCCGGGGGCTCTCTCCTCGCCGTCTTCCTCTCCTCCGCTCCCTCCCCCGCCCGCTCGCCTCCCGCCTATGCCCGGCCGCAGCGCAGCGGCGGCAGCGGCGGCGGCGGCTCCAGCATCCCCCGGCTGCGCGGCGGGGAGGCGGCGGGGAGGCGCAGCCGCCACTCCGCGGCCCCGCGGCCAACCCGCGGCCGGCGCCGGGCCAGGGAGGCCGATCCGCGGGCGGGGCCCGGGGCAGGAGGCTCGGCTCGGCTCGGCACGGTGCGGCTCCGCTCCCCGCCGCTCCTCCGCGCTCAAGTCCGGCCCGGCATCGAAACTCCGCCGAGGTTTCCCGAGCGAAAAATACAAAAGAACGTAAAATCCAGGGGATGGAAAGGACACCCTGCAGCGGGGGACGCCCGTGGCCCAGGAGACAGAAATACGGATCCGGCCACCGAATAGGCACGCACAAGGCAGCTCCTGCCAAGCTTGCAGCTCCTGTTCAATTGTGCATTCCTAGCGCGGCGCAAGGGAGGCAGGCTAGCGCGCAGAAAGTAAGGCGCCTCCCACCAAAGCCTAATGGTGGTTTCTTAATGCGCACAAGATAAATAAATGATCCAGGCAAACCCCTCGGGAGGGTGGATGCTACGGCAAACGGAGCTTAGAAAAGGAAGGAAAAGAAGGAAAAGAAAAAAAAAAATGGTGTGTGTGGGGGGGGGGGAAGGGGTGCGCCTGAAGCCCATCCTGGGGCAGTAATCCCATAGGCTGCCGCTGCATGTCCAAAAAGGCATGTGTGGAGGGAGGTGGAGACACCTCCGGAGAGGATTCCTAGCGAACGACCAGTGCTCGGGACGAGGAGCTGCTTCCTGACGCTGATGCTACCTGATAACCAGCACTAAGCAGCGCTTGCTGTTGTTTCAGAAAGGGATTTCCCTACGGGAAAACGGAAACCGGCAGCAGGCACCTGCAACAAAAGGACGGTCCCCCCGAGCAGCCGGGGGCACTGCCGGCACCGCCGCATCCCGAGCCTGCAGCCAGACAAGTTTTGGGACCCAAACCGCTCTCCCACCTGCCCACAGCAGCTCTGAAGGCACCACCGCCCCCTTTCTACTCCCGTACTGGGCAAAACACTTCGTCGGCTGGGGTGGTCACTGAAGGGTTAACGGCGGTGCACCAAAGGGTGGCTTTATTGCCATTTTCCTCATTTTAGAAACTGACCTATAAAATTATATACGCACAGATGTTTTGAACCCGTCCCCCCCCCCCCTTTTTTTTTTTTCCCTGAATTCATCGGTGTCGTGGTAATGACACTTAGGTATGATTTCCTTAGCCGTTCACGTAGAGGCATGTAAATATTGAGGCAGAATAATTGAGCAGAAAACAGCAAAATGTGAAATATATTTGTTCTGTATATACACAAATGTTAAAAACAAAATATTGAATTTCTGTTCAGAAGGAATGTTAATAGCATTAATAATATGATATGAAAGGTGCATTAAGTAGACACTGAGATTATTGTCATGGTGAGCAATCTGACTGGAGCCTGGTAGCTTTGCTAGGACAGGCCTGTGCTCACAGCTATCAGGAAATCTGAGGAAATGGCTTATCAGGTAAGTGTGCTCTTTAAACCCTTTCTTATGAAAAACACTTTTGCATTGGAAAATATCAATATACAAATTTCTAGCCCTTTGACAAAGAGGAAAAGGATTGGGTGAAGGCATTGAGAGACAACCACAGGAGAACTCTTCACTATTTAAGCAGACGCCCAGTAAAGCAAGAAAATGAGCAAGATAAGGATGCCTTAGAAATCCATAGAAGCTTTGTCATATATGTATATATATATATATATATTTTTTTTTTTGGAATCCAGCATTCCTCATGGAAATGTAGAACTAGGTGCTTACAGTCATGAGTGCCTGTCCTGCACAGCCCTCACCTTCCTCACAAGCTATGCAAACTGTTGTCCTGCTCCAGGTATTGCATTGCCTGTACAAATGCCCATTAGCTTTTGCCTCTTCTGCAACCATACTGCTGTTCTTCAAACTCTGTATGAATTGTTCTTTGTATGCATTCTCAAACAATTTGTACACACATCTTGGGAGAACATAACACAAGAAAAGCATTTTACAGCACTCACAAGAGAGAGAGCTTTTAAGTCCTTTTAAGTGAGGATGACCAAGTCCTGAAGTCTTTCAGTATTTCATCTGCCTCAGCTGCATTTCTTCCCTTCAGTAAGATTTTCAAGCTGTCAGCTCCTAAAACTTGTAATGGTTCTAACGGAAAGGCATCAGGATATGATACCATTAAGATGACTCAAGTATAGCCATTGCATCGTTTAATATTGAAAGACTTCCTGTATTATGAGTAAAGATTTTTCAGACTTCTTTCTTACAATTTCCTATTCTTACCATTGGGGTTGACAAACAGTAACAGTTATTTAAATTGTCTGGGGAATGCTTTCAGTATGCCTTCATTAACCGGATTACTTAAAAACAGATATCCCCCAGATAGTGACTGCTTTCCTCTTTTAAGAAAGTTCTTTGGTCTAAAAATATTAAATGTCTATGTGCCTTGACACAGCAAGCGCAAAGTAGCTTCCCCTTAACCCCATAGTAAAGGCAAATGTATTTCAAATAGGGTATCCTTCAGTTAAAAAATAAAGAAAAAAAAATATATAAGCTCTTTAACATCTATTCTGAAGTGTTACAGAAATACATCATGCAACCTTGACAGACAGCTGAGTGCAGGTGATGCATGGAAAACTTGTTCTGTAATAATTTAGCCACCAGTTAAGATGGTACTATGTATTCAAAACCACAGACTCCAAATTATTCTAGATTACTTCTCTGTCCTCAAGAATTAATATTAAAATCATAATCAGTTTTCCAAATCAGCCCACTCTTGTTAAACTGAATCTGTTCAGTGCATTAATTCTAATTTACGTAGGTATTTTGTAAATTTCACTTGCATTTCTTCCTACTCATTCTGTATCATAGCCCAACTTCTTTACTCTTCTGGAAATATATTTGTCATGATCAGAAAACAACATACAATTTATTTTTCTTCATAAAATGCTAAGAAACGCTCAGTATCCCCTTGAGAACATCCGTAACTCAGATGGAATTAAATAATTTATCCATGGTGAAGTCAGAAGTGGTATTTTCTTAAGGACTGATGTGATACACAAGATCGATATACTGTTTATGAATATATTGTTTTGTTTGTCACAGGCAGTTTAAGTTTTGACTGTGTAGTAGATATGCAGCCAGCAGTTCTGTGACAAGGGTTGTCTTCCTGATGGCTTCACATCTGCCTCCATACAGCAGAACCAGTGACATCATCTTCATATAGCAAAATGTAATAAACAAGTTAAAGGAGTTAGATTTGCTGTAACTATCAACATGGAAGCAGTCCTAAAGATCTCAGGATAACTATCCTCAGAATAGTCAACAAAAGAAACAAAAATTCTAAACGGAAAATAAGACCCTTTTGGAACCTACGTCTTTTTTAGCTCCCAAACAGCAAGCATTTGAGATGCTTATATTCAAATCCCACATACACACACAGTTAGAATCCTGTCTTTCCACTCCAACTTCACAAAATATTTGAAGACATTCATCATTAATTCATATAAATATTATCTGAAGCTGTGGGCAACAAAACCTCTACAGTTACTTTGCCTTAGGGTGCGATTGGCTGCTGACAACACAAACATTCCCTCCGAATTCTGTGTTCCTCCTGTGCTCACCTCATTTGCTTTATTCTGATAGTTGGGCAATTGAATGTGGCAACCAAACCAGAATTTCACAAACAAAAGATGTTGGAATTGTGGCCGGTTCTATCAGTAGGTGTTACACTCCCGGGGTACTTTCTCAAACTAGGGCATTTGAATATTCTTACTTCATCTTTCTTCTTAGCTTTCATCCTCAACTCAGCTACAGCATATGTGCCCCTCATGGTTGGTTAACAGTCAGGGAGAACCTTCCTTTCTTTCTTTCATATGAAACATACAAGTAGGTTTCCACCAATCCCATTAATCAGCACACAGAACTGAAGTACTCTTTCCTGCTATGATTGTTAAAATTGCTATTAGGCAAGACAAACAGACTAAGTTTTATTCAACAAACATGTTGTAAAGAGACTTACCTATATACTGATGCATAGCATACAGCCCAAAGTATCCCACCTTGTATTTTTATGCAGGATGTCATCAGTGCCTCTGGTAGTGGTGGAGAAACAGCACAAGTCGCAACAAGTGAAAAATCCACTGCGGAGTTCAAAGGCACAGCACCAATTTGAGACGTTAGTAAGCTGCCAGTTAGCATTATGCCAGTCTCACACAGGTGCAAGATGAGTGACAGTTAATTTCAGAATAAGAAGAAAAGTCTGTTCTCTTTCACTGCAATATAAACTCTGAATAACAACCCCATGGCTAAATTAATTGGATAAAATGCACCTATCCTTTCAAATGGTGCAAGTATGCTTATTGCTCATCAACAGTCAGCGTGTCCTCAACTTTTTCAGATCACACATAGGCCATTTGCAAGTGCCAGAGCTGCCACTAAATATTTAGGATTACACTTGAATCTACATCAATGAATATGTGCAATTCAAAGTCTCTCTTGGCATGGTTCATAGTGATTAATTGAGGCGCCATAACATTAGGAAAAAAAATATCTTGCAAAAATATGTTTCAATCAGGAAATATTAGTAAACCAAATATTTTCCTTTCAGGAATTTATTACTAAATAACTGCAATCCTAAAAGCCTGAGTCACATCTTATCAAGACAAATTCTCAATATTCTCTGCTGACCATAAATTCTAAGGATTTCAATGGGAAAAATTCTGTCTGGCAAGAGTGAAATCAAAGTAGTTTTTTAATTCTGATTTTAGTGGTATTGTATCAGTCCCTTAAGCACACACTTAATAATGATTTCAACTGAGATATATTGTGGCTATTCTTAACAATGCCCTTGTGATATACTGAAGCCACTGGAACACAACAGAAATGCATATATTCCTCTTCAAGCCATTGTAGCCCATGAGATTTTTATCAGGAACATAAATTGAAGATGCCAAATGAAGAAAGATTTGAAAGCAAATGTTCAAAATGCCATCAAAGGGGCTTGATCCAAAGCACAATGAAGTCAGCAGAAATCTTTCAGTATACTGCAATCTATCTTGGACTAGGCCCTAAATCAAAATTCAAACCTTTCCAAGATTTTGGACAAAATGATGACACCAGCAAGTGAGAAAGCCTAGGAAGCAATCAGTCATCAACAGACAAGCAAGTTAAAATTACTTACTCTTATGAATCACTGCCTTTTTTTTTTTTTTTTCTCCTCCCCGGGAAACCCACACTTTTCCCATCCCAATTAATACACTCTATCCAAATTAATCAGGCAGAATGGGAATATACATTTCAGACCTTGGCACCTTTCCTGTTTTGTTTACAAAACTGTCCACTGTCCCATTCAATAGGGATTTCAATCCTATGCAAAGAACTCTACTGCCAGTTGTTGCTGGATAAATGATCTGGGCATAGATTTTTATTTTTTTATTTCTTTACATGACAAGACTAGGTACATCCTGGAAATGTTCACACTTCTACCACTCTGCCTCAAGGAATCATGAATAAGATTTAAATACCTTTAGTTCCACCATCCACCGTAGCATCTGTAGTCTTTGCAGAGAAGTGATGAAGAACATACTGTTTCTGTGGTGTTCTCCATATGCTACCAAAGGGGTGAAGATGGTTAGTGGTAAAGCGTACCTGAGAGAAAGATGGGCAGTTGTCTGGGTCCTCCTCTCCCTGATGGCCCTAGTGAGGGACAAAGATGTGTGCCAGCAGCCTCCAGGTGACCAATGCTCCAGGAGCAACTCTGCTGCTCAGGCACAGCCCTGGAAATTCCAGGTAACAGGTCTGAAGTATCCAAAATATTCCTTCTGGGTTTCTTCTGGAAATGAATACAAAGTAACAGAGACTGTCAAATTCAAGAAGTGTTTGAGGCATCCAGATAGTGAATTAGTTTCGGCTATTTCTGACCTTGCCACCAGAGAGGCACGAATGCTCTTTACAAATGGCAAATTTTTGAGGGGAACATCACAGGTCACACAGTGCACCTCCAGATGACTTCAAAAGAAGTTCTAAATTGTTACCTTCTCTAAAACTACAATTAGTGACTAATACATTTGTATATATAAATCTGTATTAGAGGCAGTTATGAAATAGTGATGGAAAAGAAGAACTTAAAATAAATTTGAATGCTCTGGTGAAGTCCAAATTTGATAGGACTAGAGGTAGGTTAAAACTTCCTTATCAGTCTCAGCAATTAAATTATATCACAAAGAAGTGTTTTTTCTTCCAATAATGACCAAATAAATGAGAGATTAAGCCAAACATTGCTGCTCATTTTAACACATGGAAAACAGAGACAGGAGAAACATTGCTATCAGCAATTAACTTATTAATTTACTTTTTGTAGATCCTACAGAAATGAACTTGGACTTATTATTTCCTTCTATACTGTTAACATTCATCCATAAACTTATTTTTACCAGAATATTTTATTGTACTACAGACCAGGTGACAAGACTGAGTGAACCATTTCAGGTATGTTTGTTTTGAAGACTTGGTAAATTCTTCTATCAGTTTCCTTATATTCAGAACAATGTTTTCTTACTCCTTTGTTGTTGTAAGTATTGAGAGGTTTCCTCCATTTCATTTTTAAGGCCCTATAATAGTGTTTTTCATAGCTCTATTAGGAGTGTTTTGTTTGGGCTTTTGTAGAACAGTATTTCTTGTATTTGAAATGTCAAATTCAGACATTGCCATTCAAATCCTTTTGTGACAAGTTTGGAAGTTCATGTCTTTAACCCTGAATTGTTCAAAGGTAGTAATGCTGAATAACACTGACCCATTCTTTCCCTGCTGTAACCAGCTGACTCTCCCATCACTGACTGGAGCTGATCCAAAATGGTCCAGACCAAGATCCATCCTATGGTGGCCAGATTTCCACCCCCTTATGTGTCTTTTAAACTGTTTTCATTCCTAATATGAACTGATTTATATCAAATATGTAGGCAATTTCCTGGAAGAATTACATTAAAAGTAATGAGTGTTATTAATATGATTTTGGATGTGAGATTCCTGCTACTTAGGAGGTTCCTTGACTTAATGATTAAGTCTTTACCAGCTCCTGGAAAGTCCAGCAGAGCAAAAGTTAGATGAAATGAAGGGGAACAGTTACCTTCCACGTAACACAAAAGGAACTCTATCAAACTTCATGGAAATAGTTTTGTGGCACTCATCCTTAGAGTTATATTTGAATGACCCTTTGAAGTGGAAAAAGCCCACAGGATCTCATTCTCATAGCTTAATCAGGGAGGAAGAAAAAATAAAATAATAATAAAAAAAGAATCTTTCATCTTTAAAGCTTTGAGACATCCATGAAATCATTCACATTTTCCAAGCACTTCACCTCTACATTTCAAGAATGTAGAAAATATTTATTTATTTATTTTAAACACAGGAGTCAGGATGCACTGTTTCTCAGTATCCCCTCTGTAAATATGAGGAACGTTTCTACACCAAGTCTAAAACAGTATAGAGTTACGGAAAGCAAAGCATATGAGAATCCTGTTTCTATCGCTGTCATGTATTTCAATTTAACTGCAAATGGAGAAACACTAGGGAAAGACAATAAGAAGTAAAACAATGCCGGGAGCAAAACAGCTGCTGAATAAATATTTCAAAGGGAACAAGAGATAGAATGTTAATTGATAAATACCTGCCTGCTACTTTTATATACAGAATCAATTGTACTAAAAACTGTGATTAAAAAAATGAAAAGAAAGAAAAGAAAAAGAAAATATGTTGTCTGAAAACTTTAGGATTTTGAAAGCAATAGAATTACCAAAGCTTAACTCAACTTTCAATCTCAGAGTCTAAAAAGTAGAAGACATTAAAAAAAAAAAAAATCAAACACTATGATTCAACTTTAAACTACTTAGGTATCAACATGCAACTCTGTTTCCACTTACTAACATTGTAATTGTCAATATTTATTTGTCCAATGGAAAACTAGAGATGCACTAGTTAGTCTAAAATCCCAGTTAGTAATTCTGAATCATAATACTGTATGCCTGTGCCTGTGTGTACTATGAATACATCAATGCACAGCACACAGCACTCTTCATAGCAGTTCTCTACAGTTCAATAATCATGGATTTAATATTTAATAAACAATATTATACCCATAACAATATCACTTGCATACTCTGATGTTTTAATAACAGTAAGCACAATCAACAAGAGATATCAGGTTTGTTGGGACTTGTTTTTCATGTGTTTGTTTGTTTTTACCAGCCCAGCTGAGATAGTTGGCCAAAGTAAACAAGCTTTCAGTCACACAAGCCCTTTTTTATTACAAACTCTCTCTTACCATACAAAATTGTGTGTTTGTTTTTTTATGTCACTAACGGATCTAAAGGGAAAGTGGCAAAGCTTTCAGAAATATATACAGAATTATGTACTTATGTATATAAATATAGATGTGTGTGTGTAGCTACATTTATGAGGAGGAAGATGTTAAAGACACAGAATAAACAGAACAGTACATATTCTGGCCGTGGAACAAGCTTCTATGATTTTGGCACACTACATATAAAAGCATCCATCCATCAGATATTATACAAAAGTCACACAGCTCAGGTTTGAATACAAATTCACATGTGTAAATCTTCCTAGTTTTAAAAGCAATACAACACAAACCACTTTATTGAATCATATTTTTAAGGCCCAGTGATGCATCCATGACCCACCAGGCTGTTCTGGCAAACAGAAATTGAAGTGAGTCTCTTGCCATTAGCTGGGATGTGTGGAGGACTCTAAGGATGCATGGAGGAATCCCAAAACAAGAAAGCTTGAAAATATTTTTTTACAAGGACAAAATCTTGTAAGCTCCCAATCACAAGCAGGACTGGAATTTGTGTATCTCCTGTCTGTGCAAAATGAAGATTTTAAGTGGCTAGAGTTCACACACTGCTCACTTATTTATTTGTTCTACAGACATCTAAACTTTCCCTCATGTCTTTTGGGAAACTGAATGTATTTTAAGGGGAAACCTCTCCAGCCCATCTGTCTATAAACAGGGAATCAAGCTCAGCAGAAAGTTAGATCTATATTCAAAACTAAAAGACCAAAAATGAAGACTTCACAATTTGTTGCTCTAACTCTCTGATCATTCAAACCTGTGACCAAGGGATCACAAACGTCTCCAAGGTCTCTTCATAAGCTTCTACTGCCATTCTTTCACTTTATTTTTCTTTACATTAAGAATGAAACAGAAAATAATAACATTCATAATGCAACAAAACAATTTTCAAACCTGAGTGCTTTAAATCTTCTTTTTCAATGTTTATTTGGACAACATATATAAAGCTCCTCTGTATTGAGAGTGCTGTAGTATGTGTTATTTCAGCATGCAGAAGAGGCAAAAACAATGCATGGTATAAAATTTACCTTATATTATTGCGTTCACACCAAGAATAAAGAAGAATCTTTACTGCAGATCTCACTGCCCTCCCTCAGAAGGCAGGAAAATATCAATTTATCAATCATTACCTCTACACTTTTGATAATATGCCCTCAATTCCACTGTTCTGAGTCCTCAAATTTAGCCTCTCCTTCTCAGCCCTGCTGTGCAACAGGCCAAGCTGTCCTGGCACCTAGAAGAAACTTTCCTCTAGAAGCTTGTGACAAACAGCTTTTTAAATAAAAATTGCTCCTAAAAAAATGAATATACTGCATATAAATTTGAAAGTGTACAGTAGTAAAGCATACATACTTTCACAGAATCACATAATTGTCTAGGTTGGAAGAGACCTCAAGATCATCGAGTCCAACCTCTGACCTAACACTAACAAGTCCTCCACTAAACCATATCCCTAAGCTCTACATCTAAACGTCTTTTAAAGACCTCCAGGGATGGTGACTCCACCACTTCCCTAGGCAGCCCATTCCAATGTCTCACAACCCTCTCAGTAAAGAAGTTCTTCTTAATATTCAACCTAAAACACCCCTGGTGCAACTTTAGCCCATTCCCCCTCGTCCTGTCACCAGTCACGTGGGAGAACAGACCAACCCCCACCTCTCTACAGCCTCCTTTAATGTACTTATAAAGAGCGATAAGGTTGCCCCTGAGCCTCCTTTTCTCCAGGCTGAACAAACCCAGCTTCCTCAGCTGCTCCTTGCAGGACTTGTTCTCCAGACCCCTCACCAGCTTTCCTTTGTGTGGATACTTTCCATGTATGTAAAGAACAAAAAAGCTATATAACCATTAGTCCTTCAGAGTCATTGTCTTCATTCACTGGTTTTGAACAAACCACCCTTAAATACTGAGCTGCCTTTCTATTCTAACATGAGGAAGCTTTTAATGATTAATTATATTTTTGATAAAGCAGTGATATAATTTTAATTACTTCTCCAATAATGGTCTCACCATTAATTCTTATGAGGTAATGTACAACATGGTTTCTTGCCTGGTCCTTGCTTCATCTCCTACTTGTTCATCCTAAAAGCTTCTTTTGATTGAATTAGGAAAAAAAGAAAAAAAATCAAGCAGGCAAATCCGTATATACAGCTAATAACATACACACAATCTGACTTCCTCCTCAGCACATTGCTTACATACACAAGTGAGATAAAAAATACTGCTAAGATGAAAAACATTTTTCATCTTAAGTTTCCTATCCATTTCCATTTCCTATCACATGAAACTTTCTACAAATATGTTCCTTTTGAGATATGTATTTGCAATTTGAATGCTAGCAATTCTAGCCAAAGTGGGAACTTTGAAGGAGATGTTAAGCTCAATCAGTTCAATCATTAAAGTTATGCAAATGTAAAAACATATTCCTTCTTTTTAAACATTGCTCCATTTTACTAGTGATTGTA